CCTTTTTCCCCAAAATCACAGAAAATCTACTCCTAACATTTCTCCCAAAATGTCCACAACACACCCAGAAACACTATGAACTTTACTGTGAGAAATGCGACATTCCTGTCTGTTCTATCTGTCTCTCCTCTGATAAACATCATGGGCATCATACAAAACCCAGCTTCATTAAAGAAATTTTAAAGAAGGAATTGAAAGAACTAGAAAAAGCAATTTTCCTACCTCTGAAGAAATTGCATCACATTTAAAATCTGAAAAACTTAACTTGGATAAACATTATGAGAAACTGAAAACAGTTGTCACCAAACAAAGAGAAGACTGGCATAAAGAAATTAACATCATTGTGAACAAACAAAAATAAGAAATTGATGAGAAGAAAACTAAACACCTGGCTGCTCTAAATCACCAGGAAACTGAAATCAAACAGATTACTTCTGAGGTAAAACAGAGCATACATGATCTGAAGGAAATACTGGGCTCCAGCGATGCCTCTCTAACCTTGGCATACAAATCAAGGAATGCTGAATTCAGAACTTTACCTCCTAAAGTCAATGCTTCATTACCAGGTTTCTCTCTTAAACAGATCAAACAAACAAATGTCCATCAAATGTTCGGTTCTCTGTCAGCATTATCCATTACAACAGATGAACATGGCTACATAATGAAGACAATAAAAGCTGTATCCTGTCCTCCAGTCAAACCACTGCTTGATGCACCAGAGATCATCACCACCATCAACATTGGATATACTCCGCTATACCGTGTTACCTGTCTCAGTGACGAAGAAATCTGGACACGTGCACGTGGAGGAGACAAAAACATGAAACTCTACAACCTCCAAGGCAAACTACTGAAGTCAATCCAAACCAAGTCAGGGAACATACCACGTGACATAGCGGTGACAAGGAGAGGAGATCTAGTTTATACTGACCCTGATACAAGAACTGTAGACAAAGTAAAGAATAAACAGATATAGGAAGTGATTCAACCACTGGGTTGGAAACCTCAGTATGTCTGTAGTACCTCCTCTGGTGACTCCTGGTTTCCATGGTCAGTGATGATTATACCCAATCAAGAGTTGTACGTTTCTCTGGCTCAAAAGAGAAACAAACCATTCAGTTTGATAGTGAAGGTAAACCTCTGTATTCATCTGCTAACCTTAAATACATCAGTGAGAACAGGAACCTGGATATCTGTGTGGCTGATCGTGGAGTCTGTGCAGTAGTGGTGGTTAATCAGGCAGGAAAACTCCTATTTAGATACACTGGCCTCTCTACTATCATGGGACCATTAAGACCATACGGCATCACAACAGACAGCCGGAGTCAGATCTTGACAACAGACTTTTACAATCACCGTATCTACATCCTAGATCAGGATTCAAGCAATTCCTCCGTTACATTGATAACTATGATCTACAATATCCATATGGTTTATGTGTAGACATCAGAAACAACCTCTTTGTGGTAGAATGGAAAAGTGGTAAAGTAAAGAAAATCAAGTAAATGTAAACAAAATGTTTTAAATAATGACATGTTTGTAGTAGATTTACAATAGTCAAAATCACAAGATGTTGATTAATTAAGTTTCCTTTTCTAGTGCTCATGTGCTGTGTGAAAATATGTTAGATAATAATATTATCAAAAAGGTATAATATATAATTAAAAGTAATAAATAGGGATGTCAACGAGTACCCGGTTAACCGGGTACTCGATCCAACGTCCGAGTATCGAATACTAAAATCGGTACTCGGTTACTCGGATGTATATTTTTAAATATATCTAAGCTTATTTGATAATGCATTAAATAATCGGTTTTAAAACGTAAAATGCTCAGTGCACTTGTGCATACAGTAATTAGAGTTTACTACGACTCTATTTCCGGAATTTTGGGTAATTATCAATTTTTCATTTCCGACATTTTTTTGTTTTCATTTCCGACATTTTTCAAATACATATGTAGTACTTTTAGATAACATACGTATCTGAATACTTTACTTATGAAAAATTTAAAGAAAAAATTCATAAATAAATCATTGAAATCCTTTATCTGAGTTTTGTAAATCTATCAATGACTTGGACAGTGTGTTGCTGTTGTCACTGACATTAAATATAGTGCACATTAGGTGTGGTGAAAAAGTTTATGCTTATTAAACTCTTTTACCTAGACTTAGTGCCACATGTATGTATATTTGTGTATTTTTCTCTCATGGTATAATGTTTTTCATCTTTTATCAATATTTTGTCATAAATACTTTTAAAATTCATTTTCAATTTTAGAAAACATTGAATTGCCGCACAGGTAAATTCCTACATGAAAACAAAATTATGTCGGAAATGAAAACAAAAAATGTCGGAAATGAAATAAAAAAATGGAAAATGCTATGCATATTTCCAAAAATGAAATACAGCGAAATGACCGTTATCGCCTTGAAAATGTTAAAAAAAGTAATTATTGTGAAAATCTTGATTCAAACTTAGCCAAAATTCTGAAATTGATACAGTTGACTGGTTTTGGCTAAGTGGGAATGGTGTACAGGTAAGGGCAGGGAAGAACAAAAGAAATTAATTACAGGTGTCCTATAGTTCTAAGTTTTAGAATGACCAGTGCTATGAATTATTTTAAATTCTTTATTTATTATATTTAAGTTCTTGTTAAAATTAATTAAAATGTCTTTTCGAATTCAGACATTTTGAAATAAATATTCCTAACATCATGTAAGGTCTATTATGTTTCAAAATAAATTACCGGTAGATAATTTTGTATTTCTCAGAAGCCGTAAATTCTCGGGATAAAAGCGGATGATATTATCGTGCATTGTTGATATGGTTGTGTTTGATTACTTGTCAATACAACTGGTTGAAGGCAAAGACTTTAAAATCCGATGTCCATCCTTGCACCAAACTAAAAAATACCGTCCCGTAATATTATAAAATTTAGGAGAAAAAATGTAAATCCGCTCTGTTAGGAGAACTTTAATCAAGTTCAAGTTGATATTGTACGTAGCCCTGACGACTCATACCTGGTCGGAGGAATTTGGACAACTCAAGTTACATTACAATTACAGAGCAGATTATTAAAACTGTGAACCGCTTATAATTTTATTTCACAACCCTATCTGATAAATAACTTTAAAAATGTTATATTAAATTTCTCGGGCACGAAGTGCTCATCATTATTACAACAGAAATACATTTACGAGTAACCTCCTATCAGTGCATCTGGTTTTATTTCTACACGAGTGTACAATGACAGTTATCAATTGACTTGTTCATATTTATTTACACTTTTTACCGAGTCTGCGGGTACTGATCGGAAAAACTTTCCGATTAACCGAGTATTAAAAATTGACCGATTTGACATCTCTAAATAAATAACAATTGTTTCATTTGATTAATTCCTGCCTGCACAATAATAAAAAGTGGGTATTTGTTAAGTAAAATCAATATCTCAAAATGAATACCATTTCATTTGCATTAGTATAATTGTTAAAAAAGTAAAGATTTATTTGACTTGTACATTTTCTGGAAATTATGCTCTGAATGTTCTGCACATTTTCTGATTATACTGTACTTTGCAAAAGAGTAAACATGTCCTTAAAGAATAAATCTAAATCCTTTAATATGCATGTTGTTATATGTAATTATGTTTTAATTGTGTTTTAACTTGCCAGGATATAATTAAACACTTCATTAGCATGTTTTAGATAGAATTGGGCAATGCTACGTACGAGGGTTGATCCAAAGGTAATGTCACAGTGTCCAAATCTTTTATATTTGGCGTCAAATTACCAAATACATGCAATATACAAAAAGATGCATAAATAAAATCTAATAAACATTGAAATTTTCATTCAATAATGTTTATCTAAATTTATTTTGTAGATGTTTCAAACATAAAGCATAGGGGGTGTCGCCGCGTCAAAACTGAATGTCACATTTTAAATTGTATTTTTCTTATAATGCAATATATAAACACATTTAAAACATTCTAAAAAGCACCCACTCCCTCATTTCTTTAAAGACACAATTCAAGTCATTTTCTAGTCCTTAAGGGGGATGTACGGCCACCTTTAGTGCAGTGAGAACAAAATGTAAACATTTCTTCAAATGGCTAAAGTACATTATATTTTGATCAAATTTTAAACCCTTATGATAAGGATACAATAAATATGCATAACTGAATGCATGTTGTGCATATATAATCTATACTTTTGCAGAAAAATGCTTTTGATATGCTCCTTAGAACTGCGCAGCTACAGAATTCAGTAGAGTATTAAAAAATCAACAACAAAAATTGCAACTGTGCATTAATGTTCAGTTCTTTAACCATTTGTTGAGAAAATGTCTAAATATTGCACTTTTAAATGATAATTTTAAGTTCAAAACAAGGTATCGTTGTCTTCAAAAAGAGTGTAAAGAACCCTGAAAGTAGTTCATTGATAGCTGCACGTGGTCTATTTTTAGCACATAATTTTGTTTTCCAGACCTCTTCTTAATATGGAGGGACATAACAATCTTTAAATGTAGAAGAGAATTACAGTTGCAAAATAAAATAATATGAACACTTTTAAAAGAGGAATTGTGTTATAGTGTGGCTTGAAGTAATTTATTTAGTATTATTCTCGAATAGTTGTTCAATAGTGTACGTATTGAAATAAACTCTTTCAAAAATGAGCACCATTAAAGTTTAAAATTAAGAATATTGTAAGTCCTGCACTGTAGAGAAATATAGAATTGAACATTTGTAGTTTCGTATTAAGTCTTCAAATAAACGAACTATAGTGAGTATATTTGTGAAAATTTTATCAGAATCCTTCATTAGTTGAACTTCAATTTATACCCAGGCTGCAGAGGATTTTAAAGTGTGAGTTGTACTTGAAGCACAGAGGGATAACATATGTTTACTTTAGTTTGTTTGGGATGACAGAGGAGTTTTGTATATCATATGTATTTTGTTCACTAGGGAGTAAAAAAAAAATGTGAGCACAATAATTCTGACACATGGTGTAGGATTATCCGGGGGGGGGGGGGGGGGAGCCCAGCTCTCACTCTTTTTTTTGCGAAGATAACCATTGCAAATGCAATGGACCTTTCTTTGCAAACATTGTGCTCGCTTCTACATTTCAAAGAAACAACCAAATATATATTACGATGTATCAAACTTCGTATCTTCAATGAGTGAGAGCTTGATATTACAACGTTGTCAACATAATGATACATGATGTGTTTTATGTCCAAACAATACTCCATACGATGTGTAGGTCATTGCAAACAATCTACCTATTTTTGTGAGGTGCCTGAAGGAAATCCTATAGCTGCCCATTTTTTCTTTCTTACTGCTAAACAAAATAGACATATGTACCAACTTTTCGAATGTAATGCAAATAATTACAATTTGTTTTCATGCACTGCATATAGTTTAACATTTTCAAATTAAATGCTAAGAATCCTCCTTGCTGCGCACAATTTGAAAATAACTTCTATCGACACCGTAAACACATTGCCAACCACGTGCCAAGTGGAACATTTTAAAGCTGACATGAATTCTTAAAAACGCAACTTTTTCATCTATGTAACTTTTTCATACCGACTATAGCCGTATTCCCCCATATTTCTTTCAGATACCTAGCCCTTTTGAAACGATAAAACCCCAAAGCGCTCGTTACATTTAAATTTTTTTTGGGTTTTGGGGGATCATTTGGGACATCTCCATGGTAAAGCTTTGAAGCACATGAAAAATAACATTTAAAAATCACAATAAACAACATAATAATCATATTTCGAATAATTATTGATTTGAATAAAAAGAAAAAAATCAATTTTGGTAGAAATTTAGATGCACGTCACGCGAAAGTTTTTTACAGTGCCCAAATTATCAGAAAAATCTTTAAAATGCAAAACATTTTGAAATTATATCATTTTAAAAATGGAACATAAAAACCCAACACTTTGATTTGCAGCCCCTATGAAATTTGGGTTTTAAAAAAAGCTTGAAGCTGTAAAACCCCATCCTGGTAAAAGGTTACCCCGTTCAAGATGTACAAGTAAGTGATATACCCCTAATTCCATTTATTGAAATATGCATCAAAAAAAAGAAATAAATCCGAAAAACAAAAAAGAAAACACACTGTATTACCCGTACAACTAGCAGGCCGATACATTTAGTCCGTGCTGATCAGATTTTGGTCAGGGAAAGTATCACAAGTGGAAAGAGAAGTTATTTTTTTTTTGGCACTGGGGGGGGGGGGTTTTAAACTGCTGTTCATAAGCTATAATTGTGAATTGTCTATCTACATGTAGTTAAAATTTAAAATTTATAAAAGTTTGTATATGTCCATTTGGTTTGGCCCAAAAATTCATTTGTCAATTACATGTATAACTGATTATTTTATATAATCTAATAAACCAAGTAATTTGATGGGTAATTAGTTACTTAAAATT